GAAGGGGACTTTCTCTACCAGATTAAGGATATTTGTGAAAGAAATGATACCCTACATCATATTTAATGGTGAAAGACTGAGGACTTTCCTCCTAATATAAGGAACTAGGCAAGGTGTTTTCTTAGAAGTTCTAGCCAGTTCAGTAAGACAAGATAGAGAAATAAATGGCATCCAGGTTAGAAAGAAAGAAGTAAAATTGTCATTATTCACTGGTGAGTTGATTATCTTTGTTGAAAATCCTGTGGAGTTTATAAAAACACTACTGGAACTAGTAACTTTAGCAAGGTTGTAGGATATAAATGAATATATAAAAACTAATTATGCAATATACAGTTGGAAGCTAAAAAAGAATAATAGCATCCAAAATATTGAAATAGGGTATATTTGATAAGAATTGTAAGATTTTTGCACTGAAAACTCTAAAACATCACAGAGAACTTTAAAAAGATCTAGATAAATGGAGATACACTGTGTTCATAGATCAGAAAATGCGATACGGTTAAGATGCCATGACTCCTCAAAATAATATATGGATTCCATTCCCAATCAGAATCTCAGCAGGCTTTCTTTTTTCCTTCAGATAATGTCTACTTATTCTAAAATTTATGAATAAGTTATTCTAATGTGTTCAAAAATTATAAGGAAAGTAAAAAAGACATAATATATAAATAAATAATGATATAAATAAATCACCGAAAGAAATAAGTTGGAAGGGTTATGCTGTCTGATTTCATGACTTATTACTATAAAGCTATATCAGGCAGGATTCAGTGGTATTGATACACAGATGACATGTATATCAATGAAAAATAGTCCAGAAATAGTACTATACATATATGTTTAATTGGTTTTTGGTCACAGCATTTTAGGGGGAAGAGGTCATCTTTCTAAAAAGGTGCTGAAACAATTGGATATTCATATGCAAATAAATGAACATGAATTCTCACCTCTTGCCATACACAAAAAATGATATGAGATTGGTCAAGGCCTAAATTTAAAACCGTAAACTATTAAAACTTCTGAAAGAAAACATAAGAGAAAATCTTAAAAACTAATTTTGGCAAAATTTCTTAAAGTACAGTGAGCCAAAAAAAAAAAAAATCTAGCTAGGGTTCATCAAAATTAAAAACTTTTGCTTTTTAAAATGCACTGTTAAGAAAATGAAGAAGCTAACTTTGGACTTTGGAGAAACTTAGGAGAAACTCACAGACTTTGGAGAAAATACTTGTAAAACATATATCCGACAAGGAATTTGTGTCTAAAATAATAGTAACTAAAGAAAAAAAATCAAACTCTTACCACTCAGTTATATGACATATAACCCAATTAAAAAATGGGTAAAATATTTGAACATGCACTTACTTCATCAAAGAAAATGTATGGATGACGAATAAGCACATTCAGTGATACTCATCATCATCAGTCTTTAGTGAAATGCAAGTTAAAACCACAGTGAGAGCATAATACACCCACTGCATGACTAAAATAAGAAAGCTTTAGAAGTTAAAAACCAAGTTTTTGGCTAGGATGTGAAAGAACTGGAGCTTCTTATATGTTGCTAGTGGGAGCGTTAAAAAGGTACCACTTCAGAAGATGATTTGGCAAATTCTTGACAAGTTAAGCATACGAACCTACCATACAACCCAGCCATTCCACTTGTAGGTGTAATGAAAGTGTATGTCTACATATGAATACTCATGGCCGAATTCAAAGCGGTACAAAATGGGAGACACTTTTTTTGTAAGGAAGTGTTTGTTCTTTTTCTCTTCCTCTTCAAGCATTTTTATATGTAAAGCTCTTCTCAGCAGAATGTGTTTAACATCTAATCTTTCTTTTGTCACCACAGAAGATACCAGCTTTAGTCCTACCCTTCTTAGTGTGGCAGATGGAAGTTGGGAGGGCTGGATTCTAGTCCTGGCTCTTGACACTTTGGGCTGATCGACTGCCTTCTTGAGACCTCAGTGCTCTAACCTGCTGATGAAAGGGATTAAATGATGCATTTTTACTCATGTCTATTTTTGAGCACCAGCCATGTGCCAGGCACTCTGTTAGGTTTTGGCAACATGATGAAGGAAATAGGCTGTAGTCCCCACCCTCATTGGAACCAGTATTTATTAACATATAATGTGCCAGGCACTGTCCTAGGTTTTGGAAAGACAGGCCATTGTGTCTTAATCTCTAGGAATTTATGCATTAGTCGAGAAGAGAGACCAAACTAAGTAAACAAAGCTCTAATTGTAAAAAATGTTACAAATGGAGGAATATGAGAGGAGACCCCTCTTTTAGTAGGGCTGTCCGGGAAGGCCTCTTTGTGGAGGTGACAGCTGAGCTGAGATCCACAGAAAGAAGGGAGAAACGGGCTCCTTTCATCTCTGTCATAGTCTCTACTCTCAGAAGCCTAGACTGAAGGTAAGGTGGTGATTCGGTGTCTTGACTGTAGACATCTCTAAATGAGAATAGTTTCGTGGCACTGTACCTTAGTCCTTTCTTCAGGGAGTTTTGCTGTCTAGTTTAGGAAATACAAATGGCAATAAATTAAACAGATTTAATTCTTCTTTCTTATATTTAGTTAATACTTCTTTGACCTATAATTCAAAAGTGAGAAGCAAAAGATAAAGTTCTGTCTTTGCTGAGGCTAAAACACAGGTTTCAGGTGGAGGTTGGGCGGGTGAATGTGGACTCCACAGACAGGTTTCCTTTGGCCCTCAGCATTTTTTTTTTTTTTTTGGCTGCATAGGGTCTTTGTTGCTGCGCGTAGGATCTTCGTTGTGGCACGTGGGCTTGCTGCCCTATGGCATGTCTTGCCTGGGAAATCCCATGGAGAGAGGAGCCTGGCAGGATACAGTCCATGGGGTCGCAAGAGTAGGATATGACTGAGGGACTCAACCACCACCAATGTGGGGATCTTAGTTCCCCAATCAGGAACCGAACCTGTGTCCCCTGCATTGGAAGGTGAATTCTTAACCACTGGATCACCAGGGAAGTCCCTGCCTACAATATTTTAAAAGTCAGTACAATCCACCCAACCCCCCACCCTACCCCAGACTTAGTGTTCCCATTTAAGTCTTTGGGTGACCAGTTAGAGTGAGGGGACTGCACCGCCTTCAGTGGGAAGCCTGCTCGTACCTCTCGGCCCCTCCTGATCGCCCGGCCTCACTCAGTCCTGTAGTCTGGCCGGCCTCCTGTGCTTGTTTGTCTAAGAATCATCTCAGCAGGTTTTCATTTTGGGTCTAAATATGCTTGGGACTGGCCGGCCGTAAGTCTGATCTACGGGTGTGGGGCTGGGTGATTCTGGCATGTGGCAGATGAGATCAAAGCCCTAACTGTGAATACACCTTTGTTAAAGGATTCACAGGGAGGGTACCATCTCAAGAGTGGGGACTTGTCTCAGCAACTTCTTATTTGCCCTGTCCCTGGAATACTTGGTAGTGGGTACTTTAAATGCTTGTAACATAAATGACTAAATCATATTTTAATTTTGGTATTTATTTGGGCTTTCCTGGTGACTCAAGTGGTAGAGAATCTGCCTGCAATGCAAGAGATGTGGGTTTAATCCCTGGGTCGGGAAGATGCCCTGGAGAAGGGAATGGCTACCGACTCCAGTATTCTTGCATGGAGAATTCCATGGACAGAGCAGCTTGGTAGGCTACATACAGTCCATGGGGTTGCAAAGGAATCGGACATAACTTAGCAACTAACACTTTTTCACTTTCATTGACCTTTAAAAGGTTAAATGTACTTAAGCACTTTTCCTAATTCATATGTGTAGGTTTTAAAAAAAGTTTTCTTTGGTAACACATTCCTGTGGTTTTTAAGATGAATGTGTAAAAAGGAATACAGTGAAAAGTCTCCTTCCCACTTCTGTTCTTTATCTGACCAGTGTATCATGCTGTCTCCCATGGAAGTGTAAACAAAAGCAAACACATATTCTTATTTTTCCTCTCTTTTTTTCAAAAGGTAGTGTACTAAAAATAATGCTCTGCCTTATGCCTCCTTTGCTGTTTAAAAAAATTTTTTTTAATTTATTTAACTTTTGGCTGTATTAGGTCTTTGTTGCTGCACGCAGGCTTTCTCTAGCTGCGGCACGTGGGGGCTACTTTCTGGTTGCTGTGCGCAGACTTCCACTGTGCTGGCTTCTCTTGTAAAGGAGCACCACGCTCTAGAGCGTGGGTTTATTAGTTGTGGCGCACAGGCTTGGCTGCTCTGTGGCATGTGGGATCTTCTGGACCAGGGATAGGACCCATGTTCTCTGCACTGGCAGGCAGATTCTTAACCCACTTGGACCCCCAGGAAAATCTGCTTCCTTTACTCTTGACATATCTTGAAGATCTTACCGTATTAGTAAAGAGCTTCTCCTTCTTTTTTGGTTGTTTTACTGGTTGTTGAAAAATATGTTTAATTGTTTGGACATATTATAGTTTACTTAGGAAGTCCCCTCATTGAAAGACACTCAGATTTTCCCAGGCATTTGCTATTGCAAACAGTGCTACAGTTTTAGCTTTGTTTTAAGTCATTTCATACACACACACACACACACACACACACACACACACACACGAGAGTGCAAAGTATATTTCTATGGTAAATTCTCCAAGTGGAATTGTTAGGTCAATGCATATGTAATTTAGATATATGTTACTTAATTTCCCTCTGTAAGGGTAGTAGTTTAATTAATTATTAATTAAAACTAATACAAGTGTTTGAAAACACTGTTTTAAAAAAATTTTACTTTTTCTTTGCTGAGTTAGAGTAGCTACATTATAGGTTATATGAATTTTGGTAAGAGTGATAAGATTGTTCTAGATCATTGGTTTCTGCTACTGACCCCAAGAGATTCTCCGATTCATATGCTAAATGAACATCTACTATATAATAATGTTTCACACATATGTACTATATATTTCAAGTGTATGTAGATGCTATTGTATAATAAAATGCCAATTCTCTTAATACTGTGACTATTTGAATATTTTATAATAAAAATACTTTCTATCTTACAGATATCCCTTTGAGGACCAGCCTTCCACCACCATTCAGAAATTATAAATATGGTAACCAATTTTTCTTATTCTTTTAAAACATGTAATTTCACATTAGTTTTATTTTGAAATGAATTTAAATTTGGTTTTCAAAAATGAGTTTGCAATCTGTATATAAAAACCAATATGGAAGTTATTTAAAAATATAGGACTTCTGGTATATCATTAAAGTATATGCTACTTGTGTCATCAAGTTGTGTATTTATGAGAAATAGCATGTTTGGAAAACTGAAGTGAATTTCTTTGTCAGGTAATCAGATAAAGGAGAAATAATGAAAGACTAGGATTTAAAAGAAGAGATTTAACATTTTAGATGTCAATAACTTGAGTATGTTGGCTTCCCTGGTGCCCCAGTGGTAAAGAATTTACCTGCCAACGTAGCAGCTGCTGCTGCTGCTGAGTCGCTTCATTCGTGTCCGACTCTGGGAGACCCCATGGACGGCAGCCCACCAGGCTCCTGGGATTCTCCAGGCAAGAACGCCGGAGTGGGCTGCCATTTCCTTCTCCAATGCATGCAAATGAAAGTGAAAGTGAAGTCGCTCAGTCGTGTCCGACTCTTCGCGACCCCATGGACTGCAGCCCACCAGGCTCCTCCGTCCTTGGGATTTTCCGGGTAAGAGTACTGAAGTGGATTGGCCATTGCCTTCTCCAGCCAATGCAGCAGGGGCAGGTTCAATCCTTGGGTCAGGAAGATCCCCCGGAGAAGGAAATGGCAACCTACACTAGTATTCTTGCCTGGGAAACCTCATGGACGGAGGAGCCTGGTGGGCAGTAGTCTGTAGGGTTGAAAAAGAGTCGGATTCTACTTAGCGAATAAACAACAACAGGAACAACTTGAGCATGTTACATAGTAATTTTATATGTTGCAATCATTGATTTTAAAATGTAATAAGTCAAGAAGCTAGGTTTCATTATTCATTATAAAGATGGTACAGTTATTAACCTTCAGGATAGTGACACTCACCAAACTTTGGATTTGAGACTTCACTTGAGAATTACTATGCACCTAATAAATATTTCTGTTAATTGGTGCAGACATTTTAAAGCATAAATTTTTAATTACCCTAGATCATTTCTGGAGTGTTTTTTAATTCTGCTGCCATTTGGTAGAGCAACTTTTGACATAAAATACTTTGAAATCACAGTCTTCACCGTGTGTATGCATTTTAATATCCAGAGACTAATTGTGAGGTCACAGGGGTAGTCAAGCAGAAGTTAAAGGCGCAGAGTTGAAAGTACTTTGATTTATTGGGCTTAAAGAATTTACATACTAAATATTGAATAAGAGAAAGGAATAAAAAGCATGATTAAGTAAATATGAAACTTTTCAGTTCTGTCTTTCATGGCTTTCAAAGTGTCAAGCCTTGAAATACAACCTTAAACTTGAATCTGCCTACAGATGCCACTTCAAATTAGCATAGTTACATGTGGGTTTCCTTTTTGCATGCTGTGGATGTGTATTCAAACTTGTGTTCCATGGAAATTATTTTGAAAGATAAGTTTAAGATAATGAAATTATCAAAATATCTGGCTGCTAATCATCATGATGGTAAATAATGTATTCCTTCAATTTTTCCCTTTGTTGGTATTTGTATATTTAAGTGTGATGTTGGGTACATATATTACTTTGTTAATGGGTGGAGTATCTTCTTGTATTGATTCTTTTATCATTTTATAGTCTTTCTTTATAGCCTTTGTTAAAAAGTCTGTTTTGTCTGACATGAGTATTTTGCCACCCCTGCTTTCTTATCCTTTTTATTTGCACAAAATATCTTTAAAAATCTTTTTTTGTTTTATTTATTTTTTAATTGAATTATGCTTAATTTATAATTTCTGTTATACAACAAAGTGACTCATATATATGTATGTATGTATGTGTGTGTGTGTGTGTATTCTTTTTCATTATGATTTATTCCAGGACATTGAATATAATTTCCTGTGCTATACAATAGGACCTTGTTGTCCATCCATTCTATATGTAATTTTTGCATCTACAAAACCCAAGATTGCCGGGAGAAATGTCAATAACCTCAGATATGCAGATGACACCACCCTTATGGCAGAAAGTGAAGAGGACGTCAAGAGCCTCTTGATGGTGAAAGAGGAGAGGGAAAAATCTAGCTTAAAACTAAACATTCAAAAAACAAAGATCATGGCGTCTGATCCCATCACTTCATGGCAAATAGATAGGGAAACAATGGAAACACTGAGAGACTTTGTTTTCTTGGGCCCCAAAATCACTGCAGATGGCAGCCATGAAATTAAAAGATGCTTGCTCTTCAAAGAAAAGCTATGACAAACCTAGACAGCGTATTATAAAGCAGAGACATTACTTTGCTGACAAAGCCCTGTCTAGTCAAAGCTATGGGTTTTTCCAGTAGTCATGTACAGATGTGAGAGCTGGACCATAAAGAAGGCTGAGTGCTGAAGAATCGATGCTTTTGAACTGTAGTGTTGGAGAAGGCTCTTGAGAATCCTTTGGACTTCAAGGAGATCAAACCAGTCAATCCTAAAGAAAATCAACCCTAAATATTCACTGGAAGGAATGATGCTGAAGTTGAAGCTCCAGTATTTTGGCCACTTGAGGTGAAGAGCTGACTCATTGGAAAAGACCCTGATGCTGGGAAAGATTGAGGGTAGGAGGAGAAGGGGATGACAGAGGATGGGATGGTTGGATGGCGTCACCAACTGATGGATATGAGTTTGAGCAAGCTCTGGGAGTTGGTGATGGACAGGAAAGCCTGGCGTGCTGCAGTCCGTGGGGTCGCCAAGAGTCAGATGTGACTGAGCGACTGAACTGAACTTGGGAGACTGACCTCAGAAAATATTGGTGTGATTTGTGTCAGAAAATGTTTTGTCTGTGTTCTCTTCTAGGAGTATCATGGTGTATTGTCTTAGGTTTATGTCTTTAAGCCATTTTGAGTTTATTTTTGTGCATGTTGTATGGATGTGTTCTGATTTTACTGATCTATATGTGGCAGAATCACTTGCTAAAGAGACTTTTTCCTCTTTTACCTTGTTGCCACTTTGTCAAAGATTAATTGACTGTATGTGTGGTTTTATTTCTGGGCTCTCTGTTATGTTCCATTGATCTATATGTCTGTTTTTGCCCCAATACCATGCTGTTTTGATCACTGTAGCTTTGTAGTATTGTTACTATTAGAGCATCAATTGACTCCTTCCCGAAGTCTGGGAGGGTTTGCCTCCCGTTTTGTTTTTTTTCCTCAGGAGTGCTCTGGCAGTTGTGGTCTTTTATAGCTCTATACATGAATCTTTCCTGTCCCCTCACTTTCAATGTATGTGTGTCCTTCACCCTAAAGTGGGTCTCTTGTAGGCAACATATTGTAAGCTGTTGTTTTACTATCCAGTCTGTCACTCTTAAGTCTTTTGATTGGAGCATTTAGTTAATTGATAATTAAGGTAATTATTGCCAGATATGTTTTTATTGCCATTTAAACCTTGTTTTGCAGTTGATTTTGTACTTTTTCCTTGTTCCTTTTTCTTTTACCATGGTGGTAGATGATGTATCTTTCTTATTAGTCCACCTTATTAACATCCACTTGTCCTATTATTTCTATCCTACTCAGCTGAATTGGCAGGAAAAACGAACACATTTGCCTGTGAAGAAATTAGAGAAGCACCATGGTTTTGGTAGAATTCAAGTGTCTGTGTTTGGCCCTTTAACAGTCTGCTGCTTTGTTTTCGACAAGAAACGCTAAAGTGCTCCTTGCTCACCTGTCCTTGTCCTGCAGTATTGCTGCACTCTCTGTCAGCCTGAACGCACTGGGTGTTGGGAGTGGAAGGGGCACAGAGTCAGATGGTTGCCATCTCTGTGCCCTTGGGCAGGGGTCCAGTCTCTCTTCCGGGCTGCCAAGTCAGAGATTTTTCAGAGCCCTGCCTCCCATTCAGTTGGCATCTGCATCTGTTACTGATTTACCCTGGCCCCACGGTGTGTTCCTAAAGCACACACCGATGTGCGCAGTGAATGTTTGTTGTGCAATGTGAGGCTGCTAATTCTGTTTGTTTCTAAGGCTCTGTGAGATTACAGTAAACACTGTGAATACATTAAGTACTCTGAAAATGTAAATCTTGTTTTTGTCTTTATGAGGTTGTTTTCCTCAAGAAATCTGTACTAAGGAAACAATACCAGCAGAAGTTGTTTCTGTTAATAATTAAAAAAAAAATTTTTTTTTGAGAAGTAAAAACAAGTGAAAAAGATGATTTAACAGAGAAAGGGGCATTTATTTTCTTCCCAATTCTTACCAATTTCTGTTGGAGAGAAAAATCTGGTGAAAATTTATGTTCAAACCATTTCTTTTTCTACTAAAGAAAACATTGCTTCCTTATTCTGGGGTTGCAGAGCATATCAGAGCAAATATATTTCTAACTTAAAGAGTTATTAGCAAAATATATGGAACATGATGACACCTGGAGAGGTCAGTCTGCAATTTTGCAGGTCGATTGTAACAGACTTTAGTCAAGGTCCTTTTGTTTAAAAAAAAAAGCAACTACTATTGGCTTCTCTAACTTGTCTCTAGTAACAAACAATATATATTTATAGTGAGAAAAAGAATAGGTAACTCAGTATAATAGATAATTCAAAAGTCACATCTGTTTATTTTCTTGTGTACATTGTAAGCTTATTTTTAGCCATTGTGACCTATTTTATATCCTAAATGTGTAGATTTTGCTTAGGTTAGATTGATTTTTATAAGGCTGACCTTATATTAAAAATTGTAATAGGCAAGTGAAAGTTTATTATTTAAAATAATGAGCATTTCAGAGTGCCTGTTCTTAACTAAATAGGTACCCTAATTTTTCTTTATTATTAGAACATAGTTAAATCAAGGTTTTTTTTTCTTTAACAGAGTCTTTCATTTCACTGAAATTCCTTGTTGAATCAAATAGCATGATTGATAGAAATGAATTTTAGCTTAAGGTTAAGAGTTTATTCAGATATAATAATATGTGTAACTATAGTAAATTAATTAAATGGATAGGTAAAACTGAGTGGAGAACTAGAAACTTTCTGAATTTAAACCTGTTGAATGCTATGTCTGTTTTATAATTAAGAACTGATTATTGCCCAGTTAGAAATACCCAATGTAGAGAAACTACTTACTGGAAAAACACAGTGTAGCCTGACTTCAAGATAAACAGATTAAGGAGTGAAGGAGAGATTGAATAAAGCAGATTAAGTGGTGTGAGCCTGTGTAGTATTTGAAAACCAGGAGACAGATATTGGTAGTCTTTGGGTATTAGCAGCCTTGATCAGATTACCAGTGCATCCTTGATGGTGTTATATTCTGAGAGTGGTAGCAGCTTGTTGCTGTGATCATTTGACCTCCTGTCACTGAATCTCTTCTGGGAGATTAGTAGAAAAATAGTAGTAGTAGACATTAACAAAGACAGACTTTTTAAAAAACCTTATTTGCTAATCTTAGCATTTAGGGACTCTAACAAACAAGATAGAGTTATGTCATTCAGCTCTCTTCTAAGGGCTGAGTTGACTACAGGTTATGGTACAAACACAGTTGTATTTGTCAAAGTTCAGTTCAGTCTCTCAGTCGTGTCTGACTCTGCGACCCCATGAACCACAGCACGCCAGGCCTCCTTGTCGATCACCAGCTCCTGGAGTCCAGCCAAACCCATGTCCATTGAGTTGGTGATGCCATCCAACCATTTCATCCTTTGTCATCCCCTTCTCCTCCCGCCCTCAATCTTTCCCAGCATCAGGGTCTTTTCAAATGAGTCTGCTCTTCACATCAGTTGGCCAAGGTATTGGAGTTTCTTTTCAGCTTCAACATCAGCCCTTCCAATGAACACCCAGGACTTATCTCCTTGAGGATGGACTGGTTGGATCTCCTTGCAGTTCAAGGGACTCTCAAGAGTCTTCTCCAACACCACAGTTCAAAAGCATCAATTCTTTGGCACTCAGCTTTCTTTATAGTCCAACTCTCACATCCATACATGACCAGTGGAAAAACCATAGCCTTGACTAGACGGACCTTTGTTGACAAAGTAATGTCTGTGCTTTTTAATATGCTGTCTAGGTTGGTCATAACTTTCCTTCCAAGGAGTAAGTGTCTTTTAATTCCATGGCTGCAGTCACCATCTGCAGTGATTTGGGAGCCCAGAAAAGTAAAGTCAGCCACTGTTTCCACTGTTTCCCCATCTACTTGCCATGAAGTGATGGGACCAGATGCCATCATCTTAGTTTTCTGAATGTTGAGCTTTAAGCCAACTTTTTCACTCTCCTCTTTCGCTCCTCATCGGCCAGGGCTTTAAAATATTTTATACAGTGATCTTTAATTTTAATGATATGCAAATGTAATATTTCTTTTACTGCATGTTAGATTTTTAAGTGAACTTGATCATAAGGCAGGGACCCAGATTTCTCACTTGCCTAGCTGCCACCCTCCCCTTCTCACCACAGACCTCATCTCACCTTGTGTATGTGTGTGCTCACTTGTGTCTGACTTTGTGACCCCATGGGTTGCAGCCCACCAGGCCCCTCTGTCCGTGGGATTTTCCAGGCGAGGATACTGGAGACGGTGTCATTTCCTTCTCCAGGGGATCTTCCCGACCCAGGGATCGAACCCTCATCTCTTGTGTCTCCTTCATTGGTAGATCCTTTACCACTAGTGCCACCAGGGAAGCCTTTTAATCTCACTTCGATAAGTTTGAAATGAAGCTTTAGAATAATTTTAGTAAAAAGACAACTTGTTTTTTTTCTTGCAGATAAACTGAAGATCGTTCATCAAGCACATAAATCAAAGGTATGTTTCATATGTACAGTATCTGGCACATAGCAGGTAATTAATTTTGGTTGACTTAGTGAATAAATGAATGAACATGTGTACTTTTTTTCCCCATTTATTTTTATTAGTTGGAGGCTAATTACTTTACAGTATTGTAGTGTTTTTTGCCATACATTGACATGAATCAGCCATGGATTTACATGTGTTCCCCATCCCAATCTCCCCTCCTGCCTCCCTCTCCATCCCATCTCTCTGGGTCTTCCCAGTGCACCAGCCCTGAGCACTTGTCTCATGCATCCAACCTGGGCTGGTAACATGTGTACATCTAAGATATTTTTCATTATAATAGCAGTTTTCATTTTGAATTTTCCCTTTAAATAGCCTTTTATCCATTAAAAGAAAAAAAAACCACCTCTAAAATCATATTCCTGTTGGTAATAGATTCTTTTTTTAAGAAAGTGTTAATTAAAAAAAATGTTGTTAATATATTGAGTTGACCAAAAAGTTTGTTCGGGTACAGAAAAATGAACTTTTTGGTCAACCCAGTATATCAAGCAAATGTTTAACAAGCATAAAACTTGTTGAAATAATTTCAGCTTACAAATAAAGGAAATCAAATATTATATCTAGTCCAATTTCTTTGATTTTCTTATTTCTATACCAGAAGAAAGCATTATGAAAATAACATGTTTTCTCTCATTTGACTCTCTCTGTATGTTAAGAGAAGGCCCTGTATTGTGGCTCTCGGAAACAGACCTACTAGTTTCACAGAGGACATGGCCCGCCCCAAAGAGGACTGCTTAGTTATGTGTTTATAGTATGTTTACATTTCCGTCTTCATACTTTTTTAGAACAATGTTTTTATGTTTGCATCTCATGTAGATAGATGAGAGTGATCTTTTTTCTTGAATCTCAGTGAGCTCGTATAGACTTCTCATTGAAACAATAATCTCCTCTATTATAGAAACTACTCAAGGACAAGGGACTGTATTTTATTCCTCATATCTCCAATACCTAGCACAATGCCTCATTCAAAGAAGTGTTTCCGTAACAATTTTTGAAGGAAGTATTTATTTATGGATTCATTTAATTTCATTCTCTTTGCTAGTCATAGATGATGCCCCCCATAAACTCAGTCAGCTTTCAAATAAACGTATAACACGAGGTCATAAAGAGGATGGCATGAGGGTATGTCTGTTGACTGTGGGTTAGTAACTCAAATTTTTTTTTCCCCTGTGGCTTAAAACAACACACATTTACTGTCTTAAAGTTCTGGAGGTCAGAAATCTGAAATCAGTTTCCCTGGGCGAAAATCAAGCTGGTTCTTTCCAGTAACTTTATTTTTCTATGCCAAGGACTATATACAAATTTGACAGCATTCAGTTGTCAAATGCTTTGAAATTTAGTGCTTGTGTGTGTCTGGGACTATGGTGTGGAAAATTTACTTTGTATGGATGCTAGAATTGTATCTGGCCACAGAGTCCATCTGTTTTCTCTTGTCCAAGCCAGGACTGTTTTTAGGCTTGTCCCTAAAATGTGGAGAATAGGAATCTTGATCTTATTGTAGAAGGAAAATAAAGTTAAAATGAAACAATAGGCTCTTTAAAAATGTTGTCATCCTCCATTTAGTGTTGCATTTATATCCTAGCTTGCTCATATGCTCATTTCCTAAAAGGGAATAATAAGTAGAGTATTCCTTTATCCTAATGAAGACCTAGTTCATAATATTTAAATTAATCAGTATTATGACATTTTAAAAAATCAGGAAGTTTTCCTGCTATAGTTGGAACTATCTTAGAATTGTTTCTTATATTTAAAACATATGTTCCATCTTGGCACATTAGAGTTGTGAAATTAGAGCCCATTTTTCAGTTGAGCAATGTATTTACTTAAAGATTCTCCAAACAAATTGAGTCACTGAGGATGTTTCTGGAATCTGGCTTTATAAACTTACATCTAAATCACAGAGATTCTAGTTGAGATTGTTGTTATTTAGTTACTAAGTTGTGTCCAACTCTTTTGTGACCCCATGGACTGTAGCCCCACCAGGCTTCTCTGTCCATAGGATTTCCCAGGCAAGAACCCTGGAGTGGGTTGCCGTTTCCTTCTCCAGGGGATCTTCCCGACCCAGGAATGGAACCCATGTCTCCTGCATTGGCAGGTGGGTTCTTTACCCCTGAGCCACCAGGGAAACCCAGTTAAGAGATAGTTCTTTAGATTTCCTCTTTAACTTTTGTAAGGAAGGAGTCAATATATTTTTATAGATATGATTTAAAACTTTTACCCACATGTTCCTCATTTGTGCCTTTTCCAACTGCCAACTATTTTTCTCATTTTTGCATGTGCATTCTACTTCCCATTTCCAAGGCCTATAGACATCACTGGCCCAGCCTGTCAGTTTTCCAGCCCTGCTGTAATGTTAGTCTTCTTCCTGAGCCAAAGGGAGAAACTTCCAACTAACTCCTGTATCTTAATGAACTTGTTCACAAAAGGCATGTTCCCCATTTCCCCAGTTTCTAGGTTTAGACTTTCTTAATTGAAATTATCAGGTGTCCACAGAAATCTGGTGCCATCACCACAATAAAAAAGTGATTGGATACCTTCCCACCAAGCCTCCTGTTTGGGTGATGAGCTCAGTGTTTGTTGAATGAATCAGTAGTCCAGTGCAAGTAATTACTATAGTCTGGTTTATTTCAGCAAGGAAATGTACTTTTGTGTCTATGTGTGTAGTATGGAGTATAATCAGTAGGCTTCTTATAAAGTCATAATTCCTATCAAAAAGATTTGAAAGAAAAACCCCAATTTCTGTCTTACATTTTGTGAGTTTGGAAACCGGATAGCTATCCTTGTTAAAAGTTTATGAAAGGAAGAAGTCACACCCTGTAGTAAGCTTTGTAAGAAATATGCAAGACCTTTAAGAAGGAAACTAAAATTGCAGAGAGGTTATTCAGTTGTCCAGACTCATTGAGCTGAACTTCTCTTAAGAACTATGTGCTATCTTTATATGAAATTCCATCTTAATTTAACAAAAAAGAAAAACATGCGAAGAGGGATATAAGATGAGATTTAAGTGGAAATGGAAAGGACATTTGGATGGGAAGAGGCAACAGTATGAAGATGTCAGTTCTCTCATAGTTAATTTACAAATTTAATGCCACCCAAATAAAATTCTAGTAACAGTTGTGTGTATATGTGTATTTTGTATATGTGTGTGTGTGTGTGTGTGTGTGTGTGTGATGTATATATAAAAGCTAAAGAAACTGATTATAAAACATGCAAAAAATAAATAATGAAGAATAGTCAGAAAAAAGAGAAATGAGAGTGACTAACCCTGGCACATTAAGACATACTATAAAACTATAGTAATTAAAACAGTGTGATACTGTCACATGAACTGTTAGTTCAAAGACACAGAATCAGAAGTCCAAAAATGGACCCAGTTATATATGAGAATTTAGTATATAGTGAATACTGCATTTCAGATTTATGGAGAAAATATGGAGGATTCAGTAAATGTTACTGGAACAGCTGGAAAACAGTTAAATTGAATCCATAGCCTTTTCCTTATGCCAAAATATATACTCAAATAAGTCTAAGATGAAACCCATAGGTGAGGATAGAGATTAACTAGATTAACATTAGTGGATAATATGTTCAAGCTGGGTGTTAGGTACATGAAGGGTTCATTGTACTATCATGCAGACATTTTATGTTTGAAATACTCTGTGATTAACAGTTTAAAAGATGAAGTTAGTTACAATATTTAAGGAAACATGGGATTTTAAAGTAGTCTCACACTGAAGGTCTTTCCAAGTATGATAGAAAAATGAAAGATTGATACATTTTCCTTTATTCATTCAGTAGACGTTCAGCACCTTTAAAAAAAGGCACTAGAAGGAAAATGAAGGAACAAGTGAAAACTGGGAGGTTTTCTAACTTGTACTACAGAGAAGACCTAATTTTCTTAGTGAAAAGTAAGTGTCAGTCACTCAGTTGTGTCCACCTCTTTGTGACTGGCGTGGGTAGCCATTCCCTTCTCCAGAGGATCTTCCTGACCTTGGACTGAACCCAGGTCTCCTGCATTTCAGGCAGATTCTTTACCATCTGAGCCATCAGGGAAGCCCAGTTTTCTTAGAATGTAACAGTATCCCACAATTCCACTTAAAAAATTATCCTACAAGTTTATTAAAAGATAGAAGCTATACACACCTTTGGAAAATCCCATAGACGGAGGAGCCTGGTGGGCTACAGTCCATGGGGTCACTATTCACACTCAAATAAATATAAATTAATACTCTTCTTGGGGGCTTCCTTGGTAGCTCAGTAGGTAAAGAGTCTGCCTACAGTGCAGCAGACCCAGGTTCCATCCCTGGGTCAGGAAGATCCCCTGGAGAAGGAAGTGGCAAGCCACTTCAGTATTCTGGCCTGGAGAATCCTACGGATAGAGGAACATGGAGGGCTACAGTCCAGGGGTCCAAGAGTCGGACACAACTGAGTGACTAAACCACCCTCACAACACTATTCTTCATCTACATTTGCTAGATTGGCAATATCAGAATCTTTCGATAATACACTGTGCTTGTGAGGGTATGGGAAACAGGGACTCTCAGTGATGGGTAGTGGTGGTATAAATGGGTACTGCTTCTTTGGAGAGTAATTTGGAAACACCTGTCAAAATAAAAATTGTACTTCCTCTCTGACTGAACAGTTCTAGGAGTTTATCTTACAGACAAAACTTGTACATACACCAATGATGCATGGACAAGGATATTTGATGCAGGACTGAGGATAGGAAGAGATAGGAAACAACGTGGATGTCCATCAGTAGGCACAGAGAGAGTGTTAATCCTTCCGTTGGAATGTACTGCGGCCTTGATAAATTATGATGCAGCTCTTAAACTGATTTTGAATGACTTTAAGATATTTTATTTTGTATTGGGGTCTAGCTGATAAACAGCGTTGTGACAGTTTCAGGTGAACAGCTCAGGGACTCAGCCATACATACACATGCATCCACTCTCTCCCAAACCCTGCTGCCGTCTAGGCTGCCGCATGACGCTGAGCAGAGCTGCATGTGCTGCACATTAGGTCCTTGTTGGTTATCCCTTTTAAATATAGCTCTGTGTACGTGTCCATCCCAAACTCCCTGACTGCCCTTTCCCCTCATCCTTCCCCCCAGCAATCATAAGTTTGTTCTCTAAGTCTGTGAGTCTCTTTTTGTTTTCTAAGTTCAGTTGTATCCGAATGACTTTGAGATATTTTAAGAGAAGTAGGAACACAGCATATACCATGCCATCATTCGTGTGTAGAAGTTTATAGGCACATCTCTGCCTGCATGCACATGTACAACAACAGTCTCTGGAAGGTGCAAAGACAGTCTCTGGAAGGATGCATAAGAATTAGTACAAATTCTCTGGAGGAGAACTGGGTACCTGGGTGGAGGAGGGAGGAGCCTACTTCTCATTCTGTCCACATGTACTTGGAGAATTTTGTCTTGTGAGTGTGTATTACTTATTCTAAAATGATTTTTTCAGTAAAGTTTTTTCCCCTTTTTTAATCTGTGCGCGTTTAAGCCCTTGTGCTTCTTCTAGTGAGTAAAGCTGTGGAGCATGGCTCCCGGGGCGGCTCTTTTGACTGCTGAGAGGCCTTTCTTTTGAGCCTCCGTCTCAGCCATATTCTGGAAAGAGAATCTGGTACTAAACAACTGCATTCCGGTTGACAGGTGGTGTTGTGTGCCCAGCGAGGGCTCACTACTAGGTGCTGTTTAGAGGCAGGCTCAATATTTATGATGTTTAAGTGGATTTGTAAGTAGCATTGGAGAGCAAGCTCTCCCTAAATCACAAAGAGAAATGTTAGTCAACAGGACTTGGGACCAAATGTTTGTTAGCTGGAGGGTTTTTAAATATGTGAGCTTTCAGCGGAGGCAAACTTGCTTCTCTCAGAAGTCAGACTGGTCAAAACTGGATCTGTTGCAGGAAGAGGTACGCCTACTAGGACCCAAGACTGAGCTCTTGTCCAAGACTGGGAAGTGAATTGTCTGAGGAGACACACATGCTGAGAAAGCCAGAGACTTCACTGGGAAGGGGCTCCCGGGTGAAGAGCAGGGGGCCAGGGGACCCAGCGGCACTGCTCTGCCATGTGGCCTGCAGTCTCAGGTTTATGCTGATGAGATTAGCTTCTGGGTTGTCTCTGGCCAGTCATTAGGACTCAGGGTCCTTCCTGGTGGAGCAAGCATTGTTCAGCCAAGATGGGTTCCAGCGAGAAGGATTCTGGGAGATTGGTAGGACATGTGGCATCTCCTTTTGACCTTTCCCAAATTCTTCCAGTTGGTGGTGGCTTGTTCTGTTTTCCTTACTAGGATCTTCTGTTGTAAAATCATGCAGATGGTTACTGTAGTGCCTGACCAGGGTGGGCCATTTCTGTCAGTGTTTCCACTAACAGAACCTTAGTCCCCTGACCACATCTTCTGAGCCTGTATCCTAGCCTCTCTGAATCCTCCTGGGTTATTGTGCGGATGAGATGATGATGAAACAGAACACTGACAGCTAACACTAGCCCCTGTGTGACTGGCACTGCACTGGGGGTTTATATACTTCATCTCTTTTCATCCTCACCACATGGCAATAAGAAGATGCATTGCTACCCCTCCTTTTTTTTTCTAAGGCTATGTAATTTATTGAGACCACGCAGCTGAATATTTGTGGAACCTGAATTTTTAACCCAGCTCCAGCACAAAAGCTCTGTGTTCTAGCCCTGTCTCCCTAGTGCTTTCTGTAGTGTATATTTAGTAGGCACTCACTATGTACCTGTTCACTGCTTTCCCTACAGTGATGAGAGCAAAATGTGATTTGGATTATTGCTGTGACCCAAAGTAACAATTCAGTTGTCTTTGAGGAATCTCACCAAATGTGAAACTAGTAAAAGGACTGGTAAAAAGTGGATTTTTTTTTTCTTTCTAGACAAATGAACTTGTGTTGAGTTTGGAAGATGATGGCAGTCTCCTGTTAAAAGAAGATAGCACCCTGAGAGCAGCTGGAATCGGTGAGAAAGTGTGTGTGTGTGTGTATATGTGGAGCTGGAGGGGGTACTGGCTTTCCCGGCCTGGATGGCAATGTCTGGCTGATTATATTTGGACAACTCAATGCAAAGTAAATGCTACCCTTGGTGCTCTTTACACTACCTGATAATTATTCAGAGGGGGAGGACAAGAATGATGTACATTCAGATCATTTGGCTGAGGGCAGTAGATATCTGCTCTCCCAGCGTTCAGCATGCAAATAGTTCTTTCGAGAAAGTATGCTCAGAATTCTCCTGAGGGCTATTTTAAGTGATTGACAGGTTATTACTCACTTAATAACCTACTTACTCATATCAGCTTCATTTGAGCTGATAGTTTAAGAGAAAAGGGCCCGATAGAAGTATCGTGGAATAATGAAGTGAGATGTTGTTTGTATAACAGGCAGCGTGGTTTCTGATAGTTTTCCAAATCACTTCGAGCCGACCAAGTCATGGAATTTCAAATAGGAGCCTATGGTGTGCAGTTGAAAAATTACCTGATTTAACCTTTCAATTTGGAATATGCATGCAGTTTTATTTTAAAGAAGTGCTATGTGACATGTGTTGTGACCATTAGATGTCACTGTAATTCTGCTTACATGTGTGCTTAGAGTTGATGTGGCAGTACAGCGAAGGTTTTGAGGGAAGTGTGAGCAGTTGAAGGCCTCTGACAAGTCACACTTACTTTCTGATTTTTTGTATGCACTGGTTAAGGGACACTAGGGTTCCAGAGGTCCATGTTAGGAATCCTTGAATTGTTTGGCAGGTGTTTAATTGTTGTCTCCTCTGCCAGGAGTTCGTTTTAAACGACACGTGTGGTTAACGTGGGCCCCTGACATCGCTAACTCAGATGCGGTTTGACTGCCATGTTATATCATCTCAGACCCGTTCTCTGTGTCTAAGTCTGTACTCCTGGCTAGATTTAGTGTCTTTCCGTATTGTGACTACGTAAGATTGATTGCTGTTATTTGAAAAAACAATGTTTAATTTGGCCTTTATTTCTTCTTAATTTGGTGCTTATTTTATTACAGCAGGTAGCACTTAACTGCTTGTTAAGCATAAAACTATACTTGACTGGTATTGATACAGGCCAGAGAAGGCAATGGCACCCCACTCCAGTGCTCTTGCCTGGACAGTCCCAGGGACGGAGGAGCCTGGTAGGCTGTGGTCCATGGGGTCGCTAAGTCAGACACGACTGAGCGTCTTCACTCTCACTTTTCACTTTCATGCATTGGAGAAGGAAATGGCAACCCACTCCAGCGTTCTTGCCTGGAGAATCCCAGGGACGGGGGAGCCTGGTGGGCTGCCATCTATGGGGTCGCACAGAGTCGGACACGACTGAAACGACTTAGCAGCAGCAACAGCAATAGCATTGATACAGAAATCGACAGCTCCGTGGAAAAGACTGGAAAATTAAAAAACCAACTAAAAAACAGTTTCATGGTATGAAAAAATTTTGACATCTCAAATAAGTGGAGAAAAGAATGAATTAACCAGAAACTGCTGGGCCCATTGCCAAAACATTTCAGAAAATAAAACTTAAGTTCTTAGTTCTTATTCTAAAATAAATTCTATATAGATTAAATGTTTGCAATGTAAAAAAGTTTTTAGGTAAAATGTAGGTCAGTAGTTTCATAATCTTGGGGAGAAGAGCTTTCTAAGCATGCCCTTGAAGCCAGAAGCCATAAAGCAGGGAGAAATGATAGATTTGACCACATAAACAGAGTTAAAGCCAAAGCAATAAATTGTGAAAAAATATTTGCAGCATATATGACAAAGAAAGCCTGACTTTATAAAGAGGTCTTATAACTAGTATAAAAAAGAGAAATAAACTACTGATAAAAGAAATAGCTAACATAAATAGTTCAGCCCTATTAGTAATGAGAGCAATATATATGAAAATAGAGACTGAATTTTATGTAGTTTACCTCTCTAGTGATTAAGAATTGGAGGCTGAAGTCAGAGCGCTTGGGTTAACAGCTTGACTACCACGTACTGTCTGGGTGACCTTGGGCAAGCAATAATTTAAGACTAGCAGACACGAGGAATAGCGGTTGTATCTGAAGGAATTTTAAAAAATGGATGTTCCCTTGTACTACTTTTGGGAAGGTGTATTACCTCTAACTTTGTTGATCAATTTGACCAGTAAGACTTTCTCAAACTTACTAAGTCATTTTCTGTCATATCTATTACCAAGCCAATAGAAATATGCTTCTTCAAGTCTGTGACTCCTCCCAGGTTGTGATACACATTCAGAAGTGTTAGCTCTCACCTTCCTGGTTTGAGATGCATTGATGTAGAGCTTTATTGAATGGAAATAGAAAATGTATTGTGTGATACCATTATTATTTTTAAATGTATTTACATGTCTGTATATGTATATGAAGAAGAGATCATATACTAAAATTATAGAAATGGTTTCCCTGGGTGGTGGCATTGCCAGCAATTATTGTTTGTTTGTTTTTTTTTTCTCCATTTTATCTAATTGTTCTTGTAATTTAAACTTTCTTGTATAATTTATATGTGTTACTTATAAAGTAAGGGCCCAATTTTAAGGAATCAACTCCTAAATTTAGGGAAAATTGGTTTGAATGACGGCTCTGCATCTGTGACCTTCTAGAAGCCATTTAGACTCTCTGAACTTCCACTTTGATTTCTGTAAAATGAAACAAATAATAAACGTATTTCAGAGGGTTGTCATAGGGTTAAATAAAAGAATGTATATGAAAGCATCTGGAGCAATGCATGTAAACGCCCTCAAAAACACTTCATTTTATTTGGAAACCATTTTGGAGAAAGCAGTTGGCAAATGTTTTGAATTTGTTAAAATCTCAAGTTGTTGGTTTAATTGTCATCAATTTCAGACTTATATAACAACCACCTATAAAGGTATAAATCAAATCACTTTTTTTTTTGGGTCATTCTTGTTTTAAGGCCATGTATATCTTCGATCAGAATTGGATCGTTTTCATGGGTTCTCCACTGGTTTCAGGTTGTTACTTCAAACTGTTCTCATGCCCTGGTTGAGGGGTCTTCCATCCCTGTTGGGAGCAACCCCCTCTTCTGCATGTTCCCCTTTGTTGCTGAGAGCAGTGTTTCTGTACCCTTGAGAACAAGCCACAGTTATTACACATGGGGAAGGAGGTGATGGCCCCAGGAGAGGAACAAAAAATTCTCAGTGGGAGTAGAGTTGTAAAAGCAGTACTTGAAATGTGTGATTTTTCTAGGGAATTTTCCCTCCTTTGGTGCTGTGCCTGGTTAGGTTTTTAAGAGGTTTTAGGACAAAAATTCTAAGTCATCGCTGTCTCCCTTCTCACCACTTGATCTAGCTGTAGAGCTGTCTCTGTGCCATCACGGCCAGTTGCCATGGGAATAAGGCCAGTGTAACAAATGTGTCATTGTGACTTTTCTGTAAAAATCATGAAAGGAAAAGAAAGCCTGTGAGGGGGGAAATTAGGGGAACAAACTGGTTTGAAGATTTCTTTTCTCACCGAGAAATTCTCTAGCCTTTTATCTACATTGCCGATCCCAATTGTATATTCTACGCTTGACGTCCGGGAAGGTTTTTGCTTGTGGATTTAGTCCTAAAATACATCAATAAAAAGATTTGTTTTGTGGAAGAAGGAAGAAGACCTTACCTAGAATTGTTATTTATAATTTAAAGATCTTGTTGTTAACAGTTGTGGTTTTATGGACTAATTCCCCTAAGTGATAAATTTTCATGTTAAATATTTTTGGGGTTATATTTTATCTCTTTCATCTTGCTGCATTCTACTATTGCTATCTTTTGAATCTTCTCTGGTTTAGGAAAGAAACTGAGATAGGGTAACTCTTCTGAAGTCAGTTTATGTTTTACTGGAAATATTTTAAAACAAGACACGGTCTGGCAAACTGTAAGTGCTCACCTCTGGGAAGAGTGTGCATCAAGCCACATCTTGTAATAATTCCCCGATTCCCTTGTGATTTGTTTTCACTTTCTGTGTCACTCCCCTGTCGTCTGCCCACAACCGAAACCCAGTCTTGGTGCCCGACCCCTCTTGGTGATCTTGCCTAAGCAGCTCAGATTGTAGGATTCCTTGGCTCCACTTCTTTAATCAGGATCATATATGATTAGTGTTTCCTGAAGGTTTGAGTCCCTCTCCCATTCTCTTTTAGGTAGTAATATCTTGGGGCATACATGCTTTCCTGCTTTGACAGCGTGTTTCACTGGCTGTTCATGTTAACATTAGAGCAGCAACGATCTGGTGCTTGATGAAATAGGTGGCAGGCCCAGGGAATTTGGGATCCCAGAGAAAGAAGATCAGAAGGAACCTCCCAGACATGATTCTTCCCTTTTTGCCCTCCTCTCGGGCTTCCCTGGTAGCTCAGATGTAAAGAATCTGCCTGCCGATGCAGGAGACACGGGTTTGATCCCTTGGTCAGGAAGATCCCCTGGAGAAGGGAATGGCAACCGACTCCAGTATTCTTGCCTGGAGAATTCCATGACCGAGAAACCTGGAGGGCAACAGTCCACGGGGTCACAAGGAATCGGATACGACTGAGCGACTAACACTTTCATTCTGCATGCTGATGTGGAATCACAGTGTCCAGTCTCTCAAAGGTCAGACTCATTTCTATATTTGTTTTCTTCAAACTATAGTTTGAAATCTTCTCAACCAGCTTGAAAACAGATTCTCAAGTAAATAAGAAATAAAAGACACACGGTTGTTTGGAACTACTTGTTGGATTGTTGACCTCCTTTGGCGAAAAGTTAGAAATACAACACAGCTGTGGGCATGGTTTTGAATGATTTGTAGATTAGACTTCTGTGAAACTTGCAAGGATGAGTCCTGGACCAGGCGAGACAGTGAAACTGTCCTTTTGGGGTCAGATTGCTGCAGAAATCACACCTTGCCCTTCCTGGCTTTTTTTGTTTTGCCAATGATCTGGAGTTATTATTCACATTACAGCCTGCTCTGACCATTAATTGTACTACAGCCAGGACACACGTCTGAGCCTCTCTTCTCAGACGCCCGTTGCTGTGCTGCGGGCGACTGTGATATGAGGCTCGGGATTGAGAAGCCATGCAGGAAATCCTTGTTGATAGATGGGTTTATTGAAATAAGTTAGTTAAGGAGTGTAAGTACATTATACTCAACTTTCCTGAGATTTCTACATTTAAAATTGGTTTTTCTTCTTTTTAAAAAAAATTTGAGGTTATTATTTTCCTATTCAAGGTGTGTATATGTGCATTTTATAATGGAAAGAAACATTATAAAATTCTTAATAATTAATTTCATATCCAACATTTGAATGTCCTGGCTTGTGTTTGTTTCATTAAACTTGAAAGTCAGTATTAAAATGACCCACAGATGTATTTGGCGAGCCCTTACGTGGTTTCATTTGCTAGTCAGACAAAGGGATGAATTGGTGGCGTATTTATTGGATTTGAGAAGCACATTCATTTCACATTCTCATGCCAAGGCACCGTGCACCTGAGTGCACTGCCCCGCAGCACATTTAATTTAAAATCAGGTGCCCTAGGGGACCAGCATGTGGCAGACTTCCTGAGGTTCTTCTGGAGCCATTTTAAATAGAATTGGGCATGATGGAGGAAAGGGTGATTTAGTAGAGGTCTTGAAAATCTTTTGTAATTTGTTTTCACTGTAATTGGCAAGCAAATCTGCAGTCTAAATACGTGAAATCATTGTCTCAGACGTTTTTCAGTCGGGTTCTGTAGATTTAAGGAAAGACATTATCTTCTGTTTTTCTTTAAGGACACATTACCAAAGTTTAAAATCCACCTTATGTCTTTCTTCTGAATGTTCAAAGTGGCTAACTCCTAATTTGTGTGTTATTCTCCACCTTGTTAAGGGTGAACATTTTTATCAACCTGGACCATTTGAGTTTAACCCGTTTGTCAATGTAGTTTTCCTGAAAAAAAAGTCATTCATCTGAAAATAAAATCTTTACCTTAGATGACCTCATTTTTAAGCCCGTAGTATATAAATAATGGATTGATCTATAACTTAATTAGACCCAGGAGAACTTATGTGTCAAAACAGAAGTGCTTTGTCAGTTCTTTCTATACATTAATTTAATTCTAAACCTATTACTGGTATCCTGAAGAGCCGTAAGATGTACTAGTTTCTCAAAAGGGGTATACAGATAAATGTCAATTGCAGTAAGTGAAAATTGTAATTACAGTTAGTGTGTATTGAGCGAAGTGCTGTGTGGGCAAAGCACTGTGTAAAGTTCTATATGTAAATAGCACATTGTGTATGAAATTTTGCACTGTGATTATTAAGAACAGGGGACTTTTGCTTATTCTCCTAATATCAGGAGGAGGATATTAGAATCACTTGCAAATTATGTAGGTCTACCTTTGGGCTTACTTCTCTTCAAAAAAGGAGCTCTTTATATAAAGGATAGATCTCAGAATATCTTCTCTTTGAATACTGAATTTTTTGAAGTCACCTTTTCAAAATTTTATTAATTCCCAGTATAGAGGTCTTAGCTTTTAATTTAAATGCCATTTTCTTGTAATATTTAACTGTACATTAACTTACTGTTTGCCCAGGGTGCATTTGTTTACAGCCCCTCTCATCGATTCCCAATTTCTTTCTGCTGTGTCTTCCTTGCTTGCCTACACACACACACCCAGGCTTATTGTGACAAGAGTTCCTGGTCTGATTTTTATCAAGATTAATCTTCATTTAATCTTGAATATATAAAAGGGCTGGAATGAGGATCTGAGACACTGGGTGATTTTATTTTTTTCTTTCAACATTGCTATATTTTCTGTAAAGACCACAGGAATTTAGGTTTGAGAAACATCAAATTTGGTATACTTAAAACCAGCAAAAACATTTTAAATGAAATGTTATGCTAAGCTCTTTAATTTCATTCTTCTGTTATAAATTCTAATGAAGAGATGAGCGCTTTAAACTGGGAGACCAGTGGTAATCCTTGGCATCCTTCCTTATTATCCTATTTATTTGGCTTGAGGAGTTTCACTTGTCTGTTTTTAGAGAATATGTTAATTGAGTGATCAGTATTCATTACAAATAATCTTGTCTGTTTTCTTGTCAAGATTCTAAAGGCCCTTTTGCTCTTTCTGTAAAAGCTAAGCAGGCTGTATTAACTTCTGATTTAATTTAAAAAAATGGGAACTTGTTGGCGCAACACCTTAAAGAATTGCATGTTTAATAATTGGAAGGCTTTCCATCAGATTTGTCTCCAGTCTGAATTAATAATGTTGCTGACTTATTGTTTTAGAAGACAGAGTCCTTGACCTGCTAGGTTGAAAGAATTGTGACTGCTCTGAACCTTTGTGGGTCCTTTAGCTGTGCCATATCCCTTGTGAATAATTAGAGGTATTTGAAGGTATTGCGGTAGAAGCCAATTTGTGTCTTTCACTTTGCATATTGTTGAAGCCTCATGAATTAGTCATAAGCAGGCAAAAAATTAACTTCTTCAGACACATATTTTGATGGGTCATGAGGGAGAATGTAAAGTGATCTGTAAAATATTCTACTGATCCTCTAAGTATTAAATTATTATACCTACAGGCTAATTTCAGAGGGGGGAGAAAAGAGTTTTCCTCTTCCTTCAGGAACAGAGTAACACATTTGGAAAAAAAAATAATGGCTTATTATTTCTAGGATTGTCAAGAGGACTATAAATGAACAATTCTATGATTTCTTGAAAACCAGATTCATGTGTTAACTCTTGTTTTTAATTTTTTTGGTTATTTTTCTTTTTACTTTTAAATTGGTTGAATTCTAGATTCTCGTACTTAAACTTCTTGTTGATTTTGTGAAATGTGAAACCAAACTCGCTTTTCTAACTTTAGGCCTTGGAAGCACTGAATCAATGAAATATGGATTTCCATACTTATTTAAAATCTAGTTTTACATTAAAAATTTTTTTCCATTTTCTGTTTTTCTTTTTTTTTTCAGCCAGTGAAACTGAAATTGCATTCTTCTGTGAAGAAGACTATAAGAACTACAAAGCTAATCCCATTTCATCCTGGTGAAAACCTCACAGAGCTTCCTTTTTTGCATACTTGTATTAAGCTCTTTATTACACTAGTGAGTTTCTGAAATTGACAAATAAACTTAAAAAAATTAATCCCAGCCTCTGCCGTTGAGGTAAAATCTGTGGTGTGTTCTCTCTTGTGCAGGTCTTATTTCTTTCTTTCTTGTTGTAAAATAGTGTATTCATTTATAGGAAAAACATCTGGTTTTAAGTGAAAGAAATAATTGTTCAAAAATCACCATGGAGTGTTGGCTCTTTAGTTATAATTTGTTTCTCGAAATTAGAGGTCATTTTGGTGACTTGCATGTTAGATTCTTTAAAAAAGATTATAAGACTAAGGGCATTCTCTTCTATTTTGCATTTTCTCCAAAGTTTCTAATTAGAGCCCCTGTTACTATCTTTGTCTAGCAGGGATTCTTATGACCATGAATGCCGTCTTTTCACTCACTGTGATAAACACCACCACACGTGAAATTAAATTGGGTATATTTTAGGGAGGTTTTCTGATATAAGAGAGTTTCTTCTTTCTTTTCATGTTACAGCCCACACAAATAACATTGCCGAAATGTGTTTTTCTGAGCTATGTTTCCTGACTTCAGGAGCAAACTATAATAGAATCAAACTCATTTATTTGGCAAGAGGAGGTAGCAAGAAGTTTACACTTCTGGAAGAAAATTGTCCATTGAGAACAAGTCTAAGTCATGGATGATACATTCTTTCAAAATAATATAATACTTTGATGTCTGACTACCAGCATCTGAAGAATAGTGGATTCAAGGGGGCCTCTCAGCCAGCATGTATCTAATCAGAACTCTTAAGAGAGGTTAGTTGGCTCTAGAATTGTTCCATGAAGCCTTAAATTGCTAGTAAGGCTTCATTGTGGTGAGGCTAATATAAGAAAATCTATTCTGCTAAAACAAACAAACTAACAAAACAAAAATCAAACTTGAAAATCTGGTTCATGTAGCCAGAAGCTGCATTGCTTTGTTTAAGGGCAAAGCGCTTGGAGCACAGAGGAAGATAAGGGCAGAAAGTCCACTGAGCTAGGCCTTATAAGTCATGCCGAGGAGTTGGAACTTTACATAGTAGGTGGTTGGGAGCCAATGGGAAGATTTAAACAGGTAAATTATATGGTTAGATTTGTATATTAGAAAGTAAGCTTTGGCAGCAGTGTCCATATGGCAGAGAGACTAGAAGACAGTTGTCATAGACCAGGTGAAGGTTGGAAGGCCTCAACCTGGGACCCAGCTGAGGGGAAGGGAGAAGAGGAGACCTTGCTGAAGTAATGCTAACCTTTGGTGTGTTAGCTGTCTACATGTGTTATTTAATTTTTATCACAACTCCTTAAAGGGCTTCCCAGGTGGCACTAGTGGTAAAGAACCCACCTGCCAATGCAGGAGACACAAGAGACATGGGTTTGATCCCTGGATTGGGAAGATCCCCTGGAGGAGGGCATGGCAACCCATTCTAGTATTCTTGCCTGGAGAATCCCCTGGACAGAGGAGCCTGGTGTGGGCTATGGTCCATAGGGTGGAAAAGAGTTAGATATTACCGAAGTGATGTAGCATGCACAGCTCTTTAGTCTTGAGAGTATCATATCTGTTTATAGATGAAGAAATCAGGGCCCAGAGAGGTAAAGTAACTTACCCGAGGCAACACAGTAATGTGCACTGCAAGCGGAGCCAGGTCTGTCTTAAATTCTTGACCTTGCCCATTTTATCCTGTGGCCTCCTAGGAGAGCTATGAGGTAAAATCTTTGGGGCTTGCTGAGTGGCTGTTGTGGAAGGTGTAGAAGGAGGAGGAAAGGAGACTTTAATTCTTCCAGATTATTGCTGGAGCGAGTGACTGCACTGATGGTGACAGCCTGAACCCAAACAGAAAGTTAAGTAAGTAGAAAAATAAGTTAAAGCACATTCAGTTTGATTAATTTTCAAACATTCAGTTTACCCACACTTTTTTCTTTTTTAAGAAAAATTAAACATTCTTTACCTATATGTTTTCTTTTTAACAAATAATGCAAAAATATGTATGTATGTCTAATCCTTTGTTTTGGCCTGTATTTATTTTCCTTGTTAGAAAGTTACATATAGCCTTTTTTTCCCCACACTTTTTTCTTTTTTAAGAAAAATTAAGCATTCTTTACCTATATGTTTTCTTTTTAACAAATAATGCAAAAATATGTATGTATGTCTAATCCTTTGTTTTGGCCTGTATTTATTTTCCTTGTTAGAAAGTTACATATAGCCTTTTCTCACTTGTAAACACAGATGTAAAAGTCAGAAATTAAAATATATTATGACTAAGGAGGAGTTTTATCAGGAGTGAAAGATTGGTTGAAAACATGGAAAATTTATCATTGTACATAACTTGCAAAATCTATAAAGAAGGAAATTGTGCTATCTCGAGAGATGCCAGAAAGAAGCATATGATGATGTGCAACCCAATGTGTGAATAACAATAGAACAGAATCTCCCTAACCTGATGAAGGTTACCCACAGGAAACATACTAATGGAGAAGTGCTTAAGCAAACCTATGAGATGAATGGGGCGGAGCGGGGGGGAACCACTATTACCAGTGCGATTCAGAATGGTTCTGCCTCATACTGCAGCCAGTACAGTAAGAAAAGTAGTGAGAATCACAGGTGTTGGAAAGGAGGAGACAAAACATTTATTGCAGGTAATATGATTGCAAGAGAATCAACTGACAGGTTATGAGAACAGGAGACTTTGAGTGCTTAATAATGAACTTAAAGTGTGCACAAAAGCTATAAGACTGTTAACTAGAAGATATGAGACCTAAGTAGAGAGATAGTTATACGTTCATAGGTGGAAGCTTTGGTGTGTAGTAAAGATGTTGACTTATACCTAATCTGTAATCTAGTGCAGCCTTAGTATTTATATTGGGATTTGGCAAATTAATTTTAAGGTTCATTTGGAAAAGCAAATGTATAAGAATAGCCAAGATCAGTTTGGAAAAACGAGGAGGGAGGATTGCCTACCCCATGTCAAAATATATTGTAAAACTGTAGTAATTAAAACAGCTTGGTTGTGATACAGCAAACCAAAAAAATCAATGAAGAGAAACTGACTAATGTCTATGGAAACTTAGTATATAATAACGGTATTTATAATCAGTGGAAAAAAGATGGATATTTAGCACCTGCCTAGGCCTTAAAAAAATGATTAAGGACCTTATTTCCTACCATTCACTGAAATTTCAGATGGACTAAATAAACATGAAAAAAGAAATGAACTTATTAGAAAAAAAAAGATTATTTTTATGACCTTGGGGTAAGGATGGCTTTAAAACACAAAATGTGCAAATGCTATCATTTGCTGAATTTGGTGTATTGATATGAAAAACTAGATTCTCCCCCCACCCCCTGCCAATATAAACAGATTGAAAGACAAAGACTGGGAAAAGCTACTTGCACATATAAGGTAGACAGAGGATTAGTTTCCAGAATATATGAAGAACTCTTATAAAAATCAATGAGAAAAGGACAAATCTGCAACAGAAAAATGGACATATTTTGTAAAGAAGAAATTTGTGAAAATGGAAACATATGGCTTATAAAAATTTGAAAAGACACACATCCTGTGATTCAAGGAAATTAAAACAGCAGAGAGTCATTTTTATTCATCAAGTTGGCAAAAAGTTAAAGGTTTTGTTAGCAAGTATTGACAGTGATGTGTGCCTACACTGGGAGTATAAATTCATGTGCAGTCACTTAGTCAAGCAATTTGATGTACTGTCTGTTAAAATAACAAATGCGTGTCTTCTCTTGACCTAGCAGTTACACTTCTTAACATGAATCTCAAGGAAACCCTCTAATGCCTGCAGAAGAAGGCATTTAAAAGAGAATTGACTGCAGAATTATTTTTAGCAGAAAAACACTAAATGCTGTTAGTAGAGAGTAGCTAAGTGACATTTGGTATATCTATATTTTGTGTTGCTACTTAATCTAAAACAATGAGGGACATTCATATTACTTAGTGACATGGGATAATCTTTGAGGCATCTTGATGGGTGAAATTGCAGAGGGTATCTGCAATTCTGATGCAAACTGATGTCATTTGTTTAAAAAAGGCAGAATATGATAATATATATAATGTTACGTATACGTGTGAATGTGTGAACACACATACTGTATACACATATGTACATGTACACAAAAGAACATACACCAAACTGATAACATTGATTACCCCTGGTTAGGGGCCTAAGATTGGGAGGTGAAAGTGGTAAAAGGCTTCATCTGTAATATTTAAGGAGAATGTATCTGTGTTAAGAATTAGTAAAAACTAGTGCATGTATAGAAATTAAAAGAGGCAGGAAAATAACCCATCGGGCAATTGCTATTAATATTTTGGCATAGTCCACCTAGGTTATTTTTTCTATGTATTTTTTTAATGTTTCTGATCTTTTTGATGTGTTTTGAGTTATACAAGTAATACGTGCTTGTTAAAAACAACTCTAGAGGACTTTCCTTGTGGTCCAGTGGTTATGAGTCCAGCTTGTAATGCAGGGGACGTGGGTTCCATCCCTGGTGAAGGAACTTAGGTTTCATGTGCCACGGAGCAGCCAAGCCTGTGAGCTGCAGATAGTGAGCCGTGCACTATGATGTTCAAGCGCCACAACTAGGGAGTCTGTGAACAACCATGAAAGATCCCAAAAGACGCGACAAAGACTCAACGCAGCATGAGTAAATAACTAAAAACAGCTCTAAGGTGAAATAAAATGCCCTTCAGTGGTCTCTTTTTTTGCATGACTTGGTGTTCAAACTTTAGTTTCTTTTTTCTGCGCATATATCAGTTTTTAAGTGTGCATTTTAAAGCGTTATCATTTGAATATTTTAAAATATTCTCTTATATAGAGAAGTCTCATTTTCTTTCTTTTCTAAAACTTTTTATTTCTGGCTGTGCTGGGTCTTCGTGCTGTGTGCGGGCTTTTTCTCTAGTTGCAGCGGGTGCGGACTGCTCTCTGGTTGTGCTGCTCAGGCCTCTCGTTGCAGTGGCTTCTCTTGTGAAGCACAGACTCTAGGGCGAGCAGGCTTCAGCATTTGCAGTACTTGGGCTCAGTAGTTCTGGCTCACAAG